TCTATCTATCTATCTATCTATCTATCTATCTATCTATCTATCTATCTATCTATCTATCTATCTATCTATCTATCTATCTATCTATCTATCTATCTATCTATCTATCTATCTATCTATCTATCTATCTATCTATCTATCTATCTATCTATCTATCTATCTATCTATCTATCTATCTATCTATCTATCTATCTATCTATCTATCTATCTATCTATCTATCTATCTATCTATCTATCTATCTATCTATCTATCTATCTATCTATCTATCTATCTATCTATCTATCTATCTATCTATCTATCTATCTATCTATCTATCTATCTATACACACACACACACACACTGCTAAAAAAATAAATAAAGGGAAAACCTAAACAAAACAATGTAACTCCAAATCAGTCACACCTTTGTGGAATCATTGTCACCAGTTAGGTAACAACACGTATTGTGAATCAATTTCACCTGCTGCTGTGCAAATGTAACACAGAACAGGTGGAATGAGAGGCACTTAGCAAGACAACCCCTATAAAAGAGTGATTCTGCAGGTGGTGACCACAGGTCATTTGTCTGTTCTCGTCCTTGCTGGTTGAACTCTTAGTCTCTTTTTCATTTGCTCAGTGCTGTCACGCATAAAGGCATTTTTTTACAGCCCACTTAATTTGCTCAAGTAGTATAGCTAATCCAAGATGGAACATATTGGTGGCAAGAAGATTTGCTGTGTCTCTCAGCACAGTGTCCAGAGCATGGCATAGGTACCAGGAGACAGGCCAGTACACCAGGAGACATGGAGGGAGCTGTAGGAGTGCTACAACCCAGCAGCAGGACCGCTACCTCGTCCTTTGTGCAAGGAGGAACAGGAGGTCCACTGCCAGGGCCCTACAAAATGACCTCCAGCAGGCCACTAATGTGCATGTTTTCACTCAAACTGTCAGAAACAGACTCCATGAGGGTGATAGGAGGGCCTGATGTCCACATATAAGGCCTGTGCTTACAGCCCAAGACTGTGCAGGATGATTGGCTTTTGCTAGCGAACACCAAAATTGGCAGATTTGCCATTGGTGCCCTGTGCTCTTCACTGATGAAAGCAGGTTCACACTGAGCACATGTGACAGAGTCTGGAGACACGTGGAGAACATTATGCTGCTTGCAACATCCTCCAGCATGACCGGTTTGGTGGTGGGTCAGTCATGGTGCGGTGAGACATTTCTTTGGATGGCTGCACAGCCCTCCATGTGTTAGCCAGAGGTTCCCTGACTGCCATAAGGTAACGGGATGAGATCCTCAGATCCACTGTGAGACCATATGCTGGTGCAGTGGGCCCTGGGTTCTTTCTTATGCATGACAATTCTATGCCTCATGTGGCTGAAGTTTGTCAGCAGTTCCTGCATAATGAGGGCATTGATGTTATGGACTGGCCTGCCCGTTCCCCAGACCTGAATCCAATTGAGCACATCTAGAACATTCTGTTTCGCTCAATCCACCAAGGCCACATCGCACCACAGACTGTTCAGAAGCTAACTGATACTCTAATCCAGGTCTGGGAAGAGATCCCTCAGGAGAACATCAGCCGTCTTATCAGGAGCATGCCCAGTCATTGTTGGGAGGTTATACAGGCACGTGGAAGCCACACACACTACTGAGCCTCATTTAGACTTGTCTTGAGGAATATTCACTGACGTCGAATCAGCCTGTCATGTTAGTTTCCACTTTCATACTGAGTGTGAATACAAATCCTGATCTCCATGGTGTAACAATTTTGATTTACATTGGTAATTTTTGTGTTATTTTCTTCTCAATCAATTCCACTGTGCTAATAATGAAATTTGTCAATTACAATATTTAATTAATTGAGCTCTAGGATGTGTAATTTTAGTGTTCCCTTTAATTTTGTGAGCAGTGTATATAGTATTGTATGACAACCCAATGACAAGGATGCCTGCTGTGCGAGAACTTTATGTCACGCATGCCATTGAACTTAGTTTTGTGAAAATGTACAAATTTTCACTGTTTGAGTGTTGTCATTGTGTTTGAAATGTCATGAATAAGTTTGACATTAAACATAATTCAAGTTGAATCCATAATTTTCAGACCCCTTTTTTGGCATATGCATTTGGTAGCAGGCCAAATTGACAAAGATCATGCAGACTAATGAAATATTTTAATTTCACAGCAGAGAAAGCTATGTAGTCTCTGTAAGTAGATCTAGGGAAAAAAAACAAAAAACATCTGTATTAGTATCAGTTATCGTCCAAATAAGTTTTAACATATCGGATATCGGCCAAAAACTCCAATATCGTGAATCCCTAATGTATTTTCAATTTTGAGTCAGTGTCTGTATGTGTCCGTTGTCTCCCTTTGCTGAGCATAAAGGAGGAATTGGAAATACCAGTACCTTCCATCTGTCTGTGCATGTTGTGAGCATGATGACTTGAACATAAGTGAAGTACCGATTTCCATTTTGTGGTATAGATGTATCTAGGCAGAAAACCAGTCAGTATCTGATGTTACTACCATTTGCCTCACACAGTGCAACACATCTCCTTCATAGTGTTGATTAGCTTGTTGATTATGACCAGTGGAATGTTGGTCCAGTCTTCTTCAATGGCTGTGCAAAGATGCTGGATATTGTCAGGAACTGAAACACGCTGTTGTATACACCTAACTAGAGCATCACAAACATGCTCAATGGGTGACATATCCAGTGAGTATGCTGGACATGCAAGAACTGGGATGTTTTCAGCATCTTGATATACCACACCTGTGAGGCAAATGAATTATCTCTCCAATGGAGAAGTGGTCACAAACACAGATTTACACACATTTGTGAACAATATTTATATATGTTGTGTACATAGCAAAAGAGTTAGACTTTTGTGTGTTTGTGTATACATTTTGTGAGCTGAATATCTTGAAAAATAAGCATAGGGCCAACTTCCTTTTTGGTGAGTAGCTTCATCTAGGCATAAGATGAAAAAGGCAAATGTTCCTTTTTGAAATGCGGTTGCCACTTTAAAATCCAAGATGGCCACCACCATACATATATGTAAACCGGCCAGTCCAATCATTTGAGGAAACTATGCTTTCTAGTTTTTGTATTGCTTAAAAGTATAGTTTCCTCAAGTAATCGGGGTAGCTGGTGTGGATGCAGAAGATTAATCCATGATGGCCAAGGTCCACTGACTCTACCATTGCACCAGGTGGTAGATAAAATTGCTCTGTGTCACCTCAGACAAGAAAAAGAAAGCATTCCTGCTCCTAATATACCGTTTACCTCCTACCCACTTGAATATCTTGCACCAAAAACATTAAGGTTTACCTTTATTCCCATTCACTTCCAGTTCAGAAAAACATTCATTTCAAAATTACAAACATTCACTATTCAAATCTGTCAGCGATGGGGAACTATGGTGTACCTCTTGTTTTTTCTTGGAAATTTCACAATATTCAGTTTTTTCTCCTATGCATTTTTTTCAGTTGTCTGTAATACATTCAAACATTTACTTTAGTTTTTGCTTTATATAGTTTATTTCTTTTTTGTAACGAAATGAAGCCATTCTTGACAATAAATGTTAAAAACAGCAGCCTTAGAATATTCAGTAAATGTGTAATGAAATATTCCATTTAGCTATGTACAGCATTGTTTTGTGTCAGGGTCTAAATGTGTCCCCTTTAAAGTCTGTAAAATCTAAGATGTGACAAAAAATATCTTTTGGGTTTAGGTTTTATTTAACATAAGTTATTTTAAACAGTTTGTGATATTTTATTTTGCAATAAATCTGTAGATGAGCCATAAAAACTAATTGGGACATTAATGTAATATTTTTGTATGCATAAGTAATAATGAACATTTTGGGGAAAAATAATATATTATATAATAAATTGTTTATAAAATATCATCATTATGTATTGAGGAAATTTAATTAACATTCTTATTTTATTATTTTAAAAATATCCAATGCTTTTGACTTTAGTAAAATTTAAAATATGTATGCATTTTCAAATAAATGTATTGTTTAGATCTTTGTTTCTTATTTTATGTTGCCATGACTTTAATGGTTTCTCCTTAAATGTTGTATTTGCAGCATTTCCGAGAGCACCTCGACAAGCTCTTTGCTCAAGGCATTGGCATGTTGGACATCGCTCTGACTGAGGCGTTTAATCTTCTCAGTGATGTAAGTAACTCACAGATGCATGATCCACATCCCACCCACTCATACAGACACACATTGGCTTTATGATGAAAAATAATTAAGAATGTTATTAATAGCTCAGTCCACAGAATCAACTGAAAACCAAGTAAACAAGATCCTTGATGAGTCATAATGGTCTGACGTCTTTTTAAGAACAAGCAGTTAATTAAATCTACATGTATGAAACACATGCAGTTATTATCCTAAACTAAATATACAGTACATATTGTACCAAGAATATTTGCAAACTCCTGTGAAATGATTAAAAAGCAGCAAAGATTATACACTCTTATATTCGTAAGGGGTTCTCACTGTCAATGTTATTTCACCTTGTGTGCACAGTAGTTTATACATTATTACCATTGCTGCACTGCTAATTTATAGAAAACAAACTGCAAGCACATGTAGGTACTAGCAGATATGTTCAATTGATGATAGAAAACATTGATTTTATAATGATTAGCTTTACGTTGTTTTTTTTTTTTTCCTTGTTCAAATTGAGCAACTCTGTGAAACTCTTCAACAAAGGCATGTCAGGTCCTCTGGACGAGTTATTTTTGTTGAACCATTTCGTCTTTCATCCAAAAGACTTCATCAGAAACCATCTGAGCACCATCAAACTGATTGGCCCACTATGTGAAGGTGCTATTTATACAACTGAGTTTGTTGCAACTCCTCGGACTGATCAAGTCTTTTGGATGAACGACAAAATATTTCAACAAAAATAAACTGTCCGGAGGACCTGACTTAACTTGGATTGGATTGGATTTTTCTACCTGGATTATTGAGCATTTTACTGGATGTAACTGGGACCCTGTGTACATAATTTCGTTCCACCAGCACACGGGATGCGAATGACAAAGAACCATGAATCCTTGAATATCTGTGAAACTCAGTTTTTCCTCTCCTTCCAGTTCAACAAGACAGGGAGGGGAAGTGAGTGCAGCCAGGCCATTATGTTGGTGACGGACGGAGCGGTCGATACCTATGATGCCATCTTTGACAAGTATAACTGGCCAGAGAGGAAGGTAACGTAGACATAACTTACAATGCAAGTCTTATCCCTGTTTTACACTAAGCTTTACTTCCAAACCTAATATAGAATTGACAATTTACTTTTCATATTAATTTAAGTGAAGATCAATGATTACATAACCTCCACTGTTTATAACTTTTTTAAAGCGCCTTTTGGGAGCCAGTCTGAAAAACATGTAATTTCTAAGAGCCAACCAAGTTTGTTACAATTTCACTAAGATTAGTGCACAGGAACTGTGAAAAGGATAATGCCAAACTATTAATTTACATTTGTTTCAGAAAATGCAGTGATCACTGAAAAAAAAACATTCAGTACAGATGTATAGAATTGTTAATTGGTTGACTGGTGAGTAGAGATGATTAAAGAACTCATACACACAAGGATTTGACTAAAGGCAACTGAAAACCCCAGTCTAAAACCCAATTAGGAATAAATTACATACACAAGACAGGGGAATTTTTTTTTTTTTTTTTTTCGCCAAACCAAGCAAACAAACTGACTAACCAACCAATCAACCAACTATCTAACTAACCAAATAAATAAATAAATAAATTTTATAGCACAGAAAACACATACCGGTATATGGATGAGGAATAGTTTATTTAGGCCTTGATGGACATTTATCATCCAAATAAGACCAAAAAGTGTAACCGAACTAAAACAAAACTTCATAAAAATGGTACGCAAATTACGCTACATTTCAGAGAATGTGTTTTTAAAGTACAGTACTATTTTTAAAGGCAGTACTTGAAAGAAAGACTATGAAAGTAGTGAATAAAGAGCATGCCCGCTGTGGGGTCCTTTCAGAGAGGAGTGGTGCAGTTGAAGCTAAGAACAAACCTGTTTCTCTGCGATCCTGCAGGATAATTGCTGTGCAACTCTGTTTCACTGTGCAAATGTGAAATGAAAAAGAAGAAAAGCGCTTAAGAGAAAAACAACAACATAATTTTCAGACTATTCTTTTGTTACATGAGGTCCACAGGGTCTGGAGCATATGAAAATTCAAAGGTGCAGAATAGATTTAGTAGTTTACACTTTTAAAGCTTGCTGTGTTTTCTTTATTCTTCCATTTTTCTTATTCTAAATGAGTCTGTGTAGCTAAAAAATACTCTCACAGCTTGATGCTGCCACCTCCATGCTCCACTGCTGTGATGGCATCAAGCAGGTGATGAGCATGTGTTTGCTTTTTGGTGAAAGTCTCTAAAAGTGGCAAAGCAGCATCTTTTTTTCCATTATGTGAGCCTTATTTCTTAAAAACTCAGATTTTTCTTTATTTAAGAAAAACTACCATATGACCACTCTACCAAAAAGCCCAGATGAACAACAGAAAAAAAAAAAAGTCAAACTAGAAGTTTCTCACGTGGCAAAGGGCAATTAATATTATATATTTGTCTTAATATATAAAAAAAAAGTTTATTTATTCTATATTTCAATTTATTGCCTGTGTAGATTCTATTGACACTGCAAAAATGAAATGTCAAATATCATATCAAAAGGCAGCGTAAAAGAAAAGGTAACGGGACCTGGAAATTTTATGAACGCACTTAGAAAATGGGTGACCTAAACAAGAAACATCCAATATTGCCTCAGGTTATGTTCTTTATGCTTAAAATGCAAATGCAAACATAATGGGTGGTATGATAAAACAGAATTTTGGGATTAGGCAGTTTGTTAATAGAGTTTGAAAAGTTAATACTCACATTTATAGTCTGTATTAACCTTCAGGTTGTGTATACTGTATGTGTGTGCCTAACAATTTAAGTGCCATTTTCCATTAATGTTGCATTTGCATTGCATGTGTATGTTCTGTATAAAAACTGCTCACAGCCCCCTCCACCCCTCCCACAGATGCTTGCCTCAAGGCTGAACAGCAGTGAGTGGAGAGGGGACGAGGCTGCTGAATACTTCCATTTAGAAGAAACCCTGCTGATAATGGAAGTCTTCAGTCTTTGTCGCTCTCTTCATTCTTTCTCACTCACCCTCTCTTTTCCTCCACTGCTGCTTTTTAATGGCTTCTTTCCAGCCGGCTTTGCTGCTTCACTACTAGCTTCACACAGAGGCGACAAGTAGACTTGGGGAAAATGCAAAGAAGATACTGAATATCTCTGTAATGTATTCATAAAGAGCCCATTGCCGTGAAAACAAAATTATTTCCATCCATCCATTTTATTCCACCTACTCTAGTATGATTTTGGTGGAAGCAGGAGGGAAACCCAGACATCCCTTTCCCTAACTACACTTTCCACTTCCTCTTGGATGATGCTCAGGAGGAGGCTAGAGGATATAACATCCCTTCAGAAAATCCAGGATCTGCCCCAAGGTCTCCTCCTAGTGGGACATGCCCAGTCTTTGTAAGCTCTAGGTGACATGTAAGTGTGATTCCTGAACAACCTCAGCTGATTTCTTTTGATGCAGAGGAGCAGCGGCTCTTCTCTAAGCAACTCCAAGGGCCTTTCTGAATGATGTCTCACTGGGGTGGCTAAACCCATGGCCACACTCTAAAGCCAGTAACTTTTATATGCACCGTTTATCTTTCATCCAAACACAACACTTTAGTTTGCAATTAAGTGTTTATTGGCTGGTTTAGATACATTTGTTCTATCTGTAAGTGCACACATTTAGTTTACTCATGTATTTATATCATATTGTTTGTGCTTATGATTAATTCTTGTTTCTTTTACCGGTTCTTACCTGCCGTGATCCCTGGGAGTTGCCAGACAAAAGAGGGTGGTAGTGATGGTAGTATGAAACAGAAGTTTCAAAACATGCTTCGAACCCTGCAGTAAAATTACATCGAACCACTGCTTCGGAGCTTGTTTCGGTGCGGAAAAAGTCACGTGACACGTGACGTCCGTAACACAAACTGTTTCATTGTCAGAATGAATCACTTGACTGGTTCGAGGTCCAAACAGCTGATTCCCTGGCACCGCCTCGTCTCGATTCTGACAGGTGACAGGTTGAGACAGTTTTGAATTGAGAGCTCAACACTATGAAACAGCTCTAAAATGTTTGTGTTGGAGAGTAGGTGTGTTTCTGCTGTTAGTTGAAATTGAGTAATTATGGAGGCAGCTAGGAAAAGAGGTCGTTCTAACATGTGGGAACACTTCATTCTGCTCATGATAAGGTGGTTTTAAATGTAAAAAAATATATAGTAATGTTCAGCAGTGAAGATATTCTAGCTGTTTTTTGTTACTTTTCTTTTTTTTAGCCATCCTATTCGTTAATTTTTTTTAATTAAAAAAATCTGTATGCCTTTTTATAACTGTTTATTGTTGTCCATTGTTGTCATCTTTCTTTGTTGAAATCAGGTCTCTCTTGTAAATGAGTCCTCGAGGCTCAATGGGATTTACCTGTCTAAATAAAGGTTGAATGAAAAAAATATAATCTAACCCATTTAACCCATGTATTTAATATAATTACAGTAAAATGATGTATGTGATTTTAATAATCATATATCAGTATGGGATCAAATTATTATTTTTATTTACATTAGTGCATTTGTGCAGGTGCAGTGTTTGGTGTGTTCACCTGAACTGAAGCATCATGATACCTCCTCTATGATTAGACACTTCAGCTCCAAACATGGAGATGCTGGAGACGTCATTTCATTGATATTTTTAAGAATGATAAAGACTCGGACTCTGCCACAGTTACACAAGCACAATACCATTGCAGCATTTTTATTAAATCTCTTCAATGCACATTTATTAATCTTTATTCAAAAACATGTAAGCATGAATACATTTTCAAACCAGACAACATAGAAAGTTGATGAATTTAAAAAATCTGTTTTTACCACAGTAAAGTAGTTTCTTTAACACTAGTCACTGGAGTTCTTCAGTGTGTGCCACTAAAAGCAAAATGCCTAATTTGACAGCAGCATTGCAAAATGCCACAAGAGGTCACTGTACCTGAAGCTTCAACAAATGAACCTATTTTTGAAACAATTGGCCCAACTGGTTCAATGCTTCATAAAAGCTTCATTTGCTCATCACTAGACGGTGGACAGGGCTTAGCACACTTAAATACATGGTGCTGATTGGACTGCACCACCAGTTCCAGCTAGAGAGGGGGAACTTGTATTTTCTTTATTTAAAAAAAGCTTTTGTATTTACATAAATATTTGTATTTAAAGTTTAATATTTTTGATTTCCACTTTTGGTGTTCAGTTTATTATCAAACTTAGTTGCACTGTGTTGTTTGTTGTAGTTAGTGATTGTATTCTGTTTAGTTACCCCTCATGTGCCTTAATGGTGTGATCAGCCAGTATATATTCCCCTGTGTGTCTTCTTGGAGGTCAGTCATGTTTGTTTGAGCAAACAGTTTGTTCATATTTTTGCCTGAGTTCAATTTTGTTCCTTTGACCTCTTTTATGAGTTCATCATTCATGTATGTAAAACATAATCTTTTAGGTTTAAAATTAAAACCCTACATATATATATATATATATATATATATATATATATACCTTCTATGACTCCAGTTACTTTTCAACTCGGTCCCTCGGTCCATCGCACACCACCATCACAATCATCACCATCATCATTTTCTTAATCGTATTTTGTATTTTCCTCTGTTATATAAGACGTTTGTTTACAAAAAATATGATTAAAGTCCAGTTAATGGAAGTTGTCATAAAAGTATTTGAGTGATTAAATTATTTACAATATATGCAATGGACAGCTATAGGGACATTATAATAATTTATTTGTCAATACTATATTTAATGAATGTGTCTCCACCACTGAGTAGGAAAGATAAAAAGAAAAAAGTATATCTATTACGTACTTCCAGAGGCTGCATCTGCTCTATCTGGCAACGATACTTTCCCCACACACGCATGTATATGCTGTAATGTAAACACACTGCCGACTACTTCTACTGCTAGAGCAAAGTAAAATCTACTGGAAAAGATTAGGTTGGCAAAGTGTTTTACTGAATTGGCTTGAATTGAGCTGATCAACACTTGTCTGTATTATAACTGCAGCTCCTTGACACACTTGTCTAATACCTGCAGTTTAAAAATAAGAATAAACCTACTTAACTGTACTGTATTTCTTGAGTTGAAAAAATGTATTTTAATTACTAAGACAAATAAACAAAGAAAACAAGACAAAACAAAAAAAAAAAACTATAAATAAAAAGCAAAACAATTACTTCTAACTTTTAATAGCTGTATGACTTATAAAGGGAATAAGAACAATATGAACTTGACGGTGCTATCTTAAAAAAATAAAATCAAATCATTGTATTGACCTTGATCAGATAGTGAATACTGTATGTGAATGATGAGTGACAGCAGACATCTGCTTCCTTTCTGTAGGTACGAATATTCCCATATCTGATTGGTCGGGAGTCAGCCTTTGCAGATAATCTGAAATGGATGGCGTGTGCCAACAAAGGTGAGATCTTTTAATATATATATTTTTTTAAGATATTTTTTGCAGTGGTAAGTTCATGAATGTTACTTTGTCACGTAAAAAAAAACAAAACATGGTGGAACTCTGTGTTTGTTCGGCACACGTTTGTGTGTATAAATGAGTTTGTCAGTGCACATCAGTATTACCGCTTGTACATGACAGCAGGCAGCTGGTTCCAGTTGCCCAAATAGGATATGTCACATTATTTAAAAATTCTCTGGGCCTAAAGTCTACTCATGCTAATATATTTCTTAGTAGCTGCTTTGTATACGGTCACGGTTGTCTCTGTGCATGGATCACTTTTTCTCAGGTTCTATTTTTAGCAAGGTGTTGGGTGACAGAGACAGTCTGGTTTCATTTCCTCAGGCTGCAAGCAATAAGCTACAAGTGACACAAAGGATGTGCATGTTTTTTTTTTGTTTGTTTCAGTTTGTCTCTCACTGAAGACCAGTGGCCTCATGTAAGAAAGTGTGCAGTTGTCATTCTGAAATTTGTTTATAGGAAACTATAAAATTGTGTCTGCATTAAAAATAATGAAACAGCGTGCACTCATGCATGTGCACAATTATTTTTCATACAACCCAACTTTTGGAATAGAGCGCAGCTGTACCTGGAGCTGCCCTGTCACGTACTATAATTAAATATGCAAATTAGTATAAATACACAGCAGGCCTTATGTGCAAATAACCACAGCAAAAGCATAGAGTCAAACAAAAAAATTACTAAATGTAGATTAAATACACTAGAGTTGGAAACAGAGGCAAGCAGTAAAATTTTCTTTGGTAGTCATTCCTCCGGGGTTATAATGAAAGGGGAAAAATTAATGAGTGGCAGAAGGTGGCAAAGGCTGTTAACACAGTGGGATCTGAAGTCTGGTCCTTGCCTGAAGAAAAAAAAAAATCTGCATCAAAGTTTATATCAATGCACGTTGATGGAGTGTTTCAACCATGGTGTCATGGGCATCATATGGGTGAGGCTGTGCCATACGGCTGTGCAAAGTTCAGGAACAAGGATGAAATGCTCAACCTGTCAGCCTCAACCTCTGAAAAGCTTCAGTTGCAAGTAACCCTAACATGGTGAGGACTTGAACTGGCACCAGCAATGCACGGCTGATCCTAGTTTCCTGACACAAGGACATCAAGTTTGAATTTCATTGGCGGATGGAGAATGAAGCTGTGTCTAGGAAAGGTACTCCTTGCTCCTGAGACTTCTCTTGACCCCATCTTTGGGCCCAGATGGGGCAGAGGTAGGGCAGCCAACTTGGGACCAGAAATTTGCAGTTCAACTCCCAGCCATTCCCACATGTTGTGGCGTCTCTGAGCAAGACACTTAATCCCCAATTGCTCCCCAGGCGCTTACATAGCTGCACACTGCTCCACATGGGTGTATCTCAGGTGTAATGGGTTAAATGCAGAGAACTAATTTCTCCATTGTATGTGAGCATAAAATGATGACAATCTCAGACTTCCCTTTCTCTCTGTAATGCTGTGGCCAGTTCAGCACAGACTAGTTCCAAAAAAATGATGCTGGGACTCTAAATTATTTAGTAAGCCTAGGATCTTTGTGTGCCAGCAGGTTGCTGAGGTCCCTTACAGTTCCTCTATTGGTGATGTCATCCAACAGTGCCAAAGCTGCTTTTGTTTCACAATTAAATTCAGTTTTACACAGCTGTCTATAATGTTTACATCTACACGTGACAAAAATAAAGCAAGCTTTACAGTTTATACTAGATTGAGGTTGTTTCAATCTATTTTCATGCTTGTTGTATGAGATTAAATGTAGTTCAGCTTCATCATTTAGGTTTAGTGCTAAAAGTCATGAGAAAACAGTTTTCAAAAGCCCCTTGAGCTCAGAAAACTAAACAGTCATATTTTGATGTACGTAGGGGAGTTTTGGTACTTAATATACCGTAGTACTGTCAACTAAAAAATATTTACATGGTGGTACCTACATTTTCATGAAGGTCAAAGCTTTGCAAATGATTTTACACACTTTCACACATTTGTTTTCATACATCCCAATGTGTGTGCGTAACATGCAATAGGCACCATTTAAGTGTGCACACACCATGTATACATGAAGCCTCAGGGCATTAACATTATTACACAGAGGTGAAAAAGAGAGAGATGAGGTGAGATAACCCACTTAGTCCACTCAGTTTGACGGTGCCAGTGGTGATAAGGAGGCCTTTGCATTTCAGCATGTCTGGGTTTCAAAATGTATGTGTGAGTATTTATGCTTGTAACATTAACATCAGCAGAGTCTGTCTTTTTCTCTTTCACGTAATTTTTTATAGCAAGCAGCAGTACATTTGGGTTGATAAATCTTCAATCTGTACATTTGGGCAGTTTTGCAGAAAACAAACAAACAACAAAAAAAAAACTTCCAAGTTGACCTACCCTGTTGGTATGTTGGTAGAACCATGTCTCTGTCTTATCTTTAAATGCAATTTTTTTTTTTAAAAGGACATCCTTGTCTCAGTCCAAATACAGATTCAGTTCAATTCCATTTCTTACTACTTTATTGTATTTATATAAAGCCACATAAGAGCGTTAAAGAGACAATGGCAAATAGTGGGGAATCACCTGCAAATGAGAACATTTCCAATTGCTGGTTAAGTTCCTTACATCCCTATTGACATCAACCAAAGCAAACTGAATTGGTACCTTTGTTTGTCTTAAACCAACTTACTTTTTGTGTTTCTATTGAATAACTAAGTTGGACGTAGAATATTTGAAATTATCTTGTAACTATCTAAGGGACACATTTAAACAGCAGTTCTTATCATGGCAGCTGTGGCTGAGTGGTTAGAGCAGTTGTCCTCCAATGCAAGAGTTGGGGGTTCGAGTTCATCAGCAGTCACATGCCCAAGTGTCCCTGGGCAAGACACTGAACCCCTCATTGCCTCCGATGTGTGTCCCATTGGTGTATGACTGTGATGAAGCACTGATTAATCTTGGTACAGATATGGTAGAGTGCTGTCTGAATGTGTAAATGAGGACACATGTTGTAGTGTAAAGCGCTTTGAGTATGTTGATAAGATAGAAAAACACTATATAAGTGCAGTCCATTTAACATGTACCATCATTTGTCTGTAAAATCTTAAAAAAATAAGAATATCCCAACATCTAAGTCATGCATTTCACAGCATTGTTTACTGCCACTATTAATTTGTGGGTTGGAGGATAAAAAGTTTGGGGACTGTTGCAATCGCTTTAGGTAGAAAAAACGGTGAACAGTTAAGACTTAGTTTGGTATTATAAGTCTCTTTTGTGGATCTTAAGCAGAAGACGTTTGGAACTCCTGCAAGCGTACAGTGGAAATCAAATGCCTAAAAGTGATAATGAAGAGCTTTCAATCATAATTGTTTTCATTTAATACATTTTTCTCATTATAGAAGATTTTAACAGTTAACTGTTTTGTGTGCACGTCACAATTGCTTAGCAGCTTGTTGAACTTTCTTTTGTTTAAATGACACCAAAACGGTTTCATTTTATTAAAAAAAAGGACATTTTCTCTCAGCAGACTCACGTGTCAGTATGACTGCAGGTGGATTTTCTCAGCACTGGAATTATATTTTCATAGTCACCTTTTACCATATTAGCTATATGACTTTTTGTATCAAGATCAAAGGTGAAGGATTCTAAGAACACACCACACAATAAATAAACTGTAAAAATCTTGTTTTTTATTTAGTGGTAAAGATGACTCTCACCAAAAAACATCCATCCATCCATTATCTTTACCCGCTTATTCCATTTTGGGTCACGGGGGTCGCTGGTGCCCATGTCCAGCAATCACTGTGCGAGGGGCGGGGTACACCCTGGATGGGTCGCAAGTCCATCACAGGGACACATAGAGACAAACGAGACAAACAACCATTCACTTTCTCACTCACACCTAGGGACAATTTAGAGTTACCAATCAGCCTAACATACATGTTTTTGGACTGTGGGAGGAAACCGGAGTACCCGGAGAAAACCCACGCATGCACGGAGAGAACATGCAAACTCCACCCAGAAAGGCCCCTGGACCGGGGTTTGAACCAAGGACCTGCTCGCTGAGAGGCAGCAGCTCTACCAGTTGCGCCACCGTGCTGCCCCACCAAAAAACAAACAAACATAAAAACAAGTGTTTCAAAATTCAAGTTTTCCAACAAAGAAAAAAAAAAAATAGGTACCAGAAATATCTAAGTGTTAGTTTGTTCCAATATTTTTATTCTTCATCACATTTTCTCCACATCTTTCCCTTCATTAGTTACATCCAAGTTTCAGAATGCCATGTTTTTTATTTTTTGCTCACATGTGCCCCAGACCAAGGTTTTTGAAAAACGATATTTCTGTCCCCGTTCTACGTGCAACAGGTGTGTCACGTCACTGACAGCTGGGCACGTTCATTTTTCTTTAGCCGACTCATCTCCCGGGCCCCAGTGGCTCAGCCTGAAGGACGCCCTCAGCCATCCAGAGGGAGCAGTCATTCCCAGCTCACCACCGTGATAAACGATGACTGCTTCTTTCTTTGTGCGATATAAGCGTGTGTGCTGGAGTTGTATTGTCTGATGGAAGTACAACCTGATTCAAATGTATCTGAGATTGCAAAAACAAAAAGTTCACTCCCAGGGTCACGTTTAGAGCCAAGAGTTTTTGTGTTGCTACAGTGATTACAGTTATCAGTGCTCCGGGGTTAGAAAATAACCGATTGGCCTTTAATACATGTTTTTCCTCCGTTTTTTTGTACGTGACCATAGAGTTGACATTGTTGGGGTGTTGCAGGGGGTTATTTGTGCTCAAACGTGGCATCTCTCTCAGATCTTTTCATTGTGCGTCAACTTTGGATCATTTCTCGCTGTAAAAGTTTTGCTGGGAGCAATGACCCCAAAATCTATTTCCTCGAGCTATGATTTTCTACTTGACTGCCTCACAGTGACGGAGGCCGTTTGCTGTTTTTATGGTTGGGTGGAAACTTGTTGGACTCCTATCTCTTTTCTCACTGTTCCACTTCTTGTCCTCTATCTCTGTCAGACTGCTGTCCTCATTCGCTTTTAGTCCCCGACTTTCTTTCCCCCTGCTGAGATAACAGTATTCCCTCCTCCACAAATGCATTAGCAGCATAATGATGGCATTACCCTCTTAGAAAATGGCATCACATTTGGTTTAACTGAGACAGCTTTTAACATTAGATTTACATATAACTTAAGCATTCACAAACCCATGCTGGCGTGCCCTGTCTTAGCATCATTTTATGTCATTCTTTGGCTCCTTCTTGATAATGCAGACAAATCCTGTGTAAGTCTCTGCTGCTCTCTCTGCTGTTTCTCAGCTTTTGTTTTACAAAAGGTTTCTCTACAAAAAATACATATTGTCTGTTTCTGATGGTAGTCAGTTCAGGCATCACTAAGCAGACATGCTGGGCAGGACGTCAAACACTGAAGCGGTTCAAAGCTTCAAAACATCAGGTTATAAAGAGTCATGGCACCCAGCCACAGAAGGAAAAAAGACAAAGGATTTTCATTATAAACAATTGTTTTATCAACTATAACACGTGTTTTGGAACCACAGATACTTCATTTTTTGATAAAATAACATCTGAAATCAAATGTCATCATCTTTTTAAACATTCCGACATCAAAACAAATAAATATGTGCAACAATCATTTTATCTTAGCACCAAATTATTTTAGATTTTTAGTGCAATTTTCTGAATTGATATGTCAGAGTTTAAATATCGACTACATACAAAATAAAACAACATAGTCATGTGTATTTTTTTTATGAATAAAACAACATTTTACTGTTACATATTCAGTTATAATCAATGTGAATAATGTTAATTTATGAATATAAAACTTAAGAGATTTACATGAAAAAAAAAAAAATCCAAAGAATGTGTTGTAACAAAACAAGTAAAACATATTTTTTTACCACTTCGGAGTGCCTTTTTCAGTTTTTCACAAACCTGAGACAGACACACACACAATTAACCCTCCTCAATTTTAGGCCAAGTCATTTTGACACACGGGCGTCAGCAGAGTTAAAAATTAAAAGTTTGAAAAACTTCTAATGTGACATTTTGTTATAATCATGTTTTAACCTTGCCTTCTAATGTTATCATCAAATTTGGGAAAGAACTTATCTTAGCTTAGCTTTATTTTTTTTTTCGGCTTAATCTGACCATAACAACAAGTTGTTGGCAATAAATAATAAAAATCAAGATTTCCAAAGCATATGTTCACATTAGCATTTGAACTGTAAACTTTGTTTTCACCTTGTTTTCCTCTCTGCTTCACAGGCTACTTCACTCAGATTTCCACTCTGGCAGATGTCCAGGAGAACGTGATGGAGTATCTCCATGTGCTGAGTCGTCCCAAAGTCATCGACCAAGAGCACGACACAGTGTGGACTGAGGCGTACATCGACAGCACAGTGAGTGGATCAGACTGTCACACGATATGCTCCAGCTCACAGTTAGTACTATTACTGTGCTGTTCTCTTCATGGGTTTGGATTGAGAGAAAATAATATATTCACCCACAAAACCTTCTTTTTAAGCTATGTTTAAAAACTTAAAATGTAATTTAAGTAAAAAAAAGAAAGGAAAAAAGAATGAAAGACAAGCAGAGGGTTACAATTTGTTTTAATTTGGCATCTCCGAGTCACACATGTGCAGCAGATGGAATCGTTAAGAAAATGTGCCTCCTGTGTGTGTTTGGGACTCTTGTTGCGTGAACAGAACATTGACCCAGTCCCAAAATGCAGATGGCAGATGATTATTACTCATTACGTTATAACTTTTAAAGGCAGAAGCCTTCGATCATCTTTTTATCTTTTATTTGTTTTGTGACACACCGATACTTCCCTACAAGAGCTTAAATGATGACTGCCCATCCACTGCTAATGAAAATGTGCACGCTCAGTACAACATGGTTTTATGCTCGACTGTGCGTTTTGCTCGTGTAATAACATACAGAGTGGGAAAAGCATATGCTCTCAGCAGTTTATAGATTTAGAAAATGAGTCTTATTAAAGTATTCAAAGGAACTGCCTTTCTGCCAGAAAACATAAAAAAAAACACATATCATAAAAACATCATTTTTCTCCCAATGTGCCTAATTTTTTAATACATTCCCATCTTCATTTTCTTTTCTTTGTACTTATTATCATCTATGAAAATAAAACTTATTAACATAAGAAGCACTATGAGTTGATTTATTTCCCATACCCTACTGACCCAAATGTTCTTTCTTGACCAAATGACACATTTTGAGTTTTTGTCAGAACTAATAGATGTTGTGCAGCCTTTGCCATCCCATCACTGGAGAGCTTTCTGACACTTTTCCACAGATGTATTGACCTTTTCTCTGCACTCCTCCCCTTCTCCCCCTCTTTAAACTGCCCTCTTTAGCTCCCCCAAGCACAAAAGGTAAAATAATCTCATTTGAGGCCATCGCATTGTTGCGTTTTGTTTAAGGCTGCTGTGCGTTGATGTGCATTTCATGTGCATGTGTGTTTTGATTTGTGATATGTGTCAGAAGAAGCCAATCTCCGAGGTAACTATCAGACTCACATTATCTCGTTTGACATTTGTATGCTGTTCGTCAACTTCCTGACTCAGTTCACGCCTCATCGTTTTTTGGGTGTGTTGCGCCGCTCTGCATGTCTGATTAAAGAAAGTCGCACATCTGTGCACACACACTCATTCATCAGTTGTGATGTGAAGTTAGCCGTGCTTTGCTAGTCTATCTCTCCAGGCTGGTGGTGTGATCATGTGTGTCAAGTATGAGGTTACATTTTGCTCTTTGGTCTGTGTAATTTCAGTGTGGAAACAAGATTGTCTGTGTTATTTGTTTTGGTGGAATTTTCCCAAATAAGCTGTTTTGTCATCTTCCGGATGAAAATCCAATAGTCCCTAATGACTGTGTTGGGATGATCTGTTCTGATGCATTTTATCGTTTTCAGTGGATTTGAATGATTTATGAATCCTATGTGGCTTGAGATAAGCAGCTCTATAATCATAACAATGATGGTGATGAACAAAAAGAGTGCTCTGCCTCTCTGCCAGCAGGAGCTCAGCACAGAACTGTCTCATTAGAGAGCTGGGAGGCGTTTGTCTTACAAAGCACCGTTAATGTGATAGAACTGTGCTGATTGACATCAAAATGGCTCAGCAGAACACAAAAAAATGGATATCACATTTTCGGATATCATAATTAGGATTAACAAGGATTCGACACTGCTTCTTTGTATTTAAAAGGGACTGCTGAGATCTTTTGATGTGGGGTTCTGTGAAAAGGTTGTGAACAGCCAATATCTTACCTGTTGTAGACAGATTTTGAAATGACTAATATTAGTTTTGTCAGATCTTAATAATTATTATAATAATGCATTTTATTTGTTAGCACCTTACAAGACACCCAATGACACTTTACAAAATTAAAAACAATACAATACAAAATTACAATATAAAAAATACTCAAATTAAAAGCTAATAGAAATGGCTAAAGAATGAGAGTGAGAAGGCTAACTTGAACAGATGATTTTTGAGTTGTGTTTTGAAGGTAGGAATAGAGTCAATATTATGTCTGTGTGACTTTTCGAGGAAGATAATTCCAAAGTTGGGGAGCAAAGTGGGGAAAAGCCCAGTTTCCCATGGTGCTGAGGTGGACCAAGGGCACAGTGAGGTGGATAGAAGAGGGAAAATGGAGGGAGCGGGCATGGGTGGTGATGCGCAGAAGATTGGACAGATAAGGAGGGGCAAGGTTGTGGATGGCATTGAGTGCCACTCTAGGGACCTTGCCCCAGTCCTGAGCACGTATGAAGTGAGAATCACTCTTTGAAACAGCAACCCCAGGAATGCACCTGCAAAGCTGAAGCTGCGTTACATCCTTTGATGTCCTGCTGCACTTCTCTTCTCTACAATTTAAATTTAAATACTGTAACATTTTAAATAAACAACCTATGGATTGTTTATTTAAAATGTTACAGTATTTAAATTTAAATTGTTTATTTAAGGAGGGAGATTGGGAGTAATGGGTGATGAGTGTGATCACAGTCTGACACATGTCATGACAACGTTTACTGAACTTGAACTTGAACTTGGACTACTGTATCCCTACTTTGCGGTTTTTCACTTATCGCAGGTGGGCGTGGTCCCAAACACCTGTGATAAACGAGGGACCACTGACACTGTGAAATGGATATTGCATTGCTGCAGCAACCAACTACTACCCCTTCAACATCTGGATGTTTACAGTTCTTCCCTTCTTTTATCCTTTTCTTAGATGTTGTATTATCTGTGTTTACATTGATCTTCAGAACTTTGCAATGTTCTTTTGCACCACTGTGCTAATTTGTTAATGTGTAGGTGTATGCTTCTCCATCAAGATTTTGTTGCTATCCATAACTGTTGTTATTATGGCAATGGCAATAAAGTAAAGTAAGTAAAGTAGTGTGTACATGAGGATTTTAAATTGAATTCTGAACATGACCCTAAACCACTGGAGTTGCGGAATTTAACTCTTTTCCTCCTTCCTTGAAGCCACTGAAAGAGTTTTATACAAAATGTAACATAGTAAATTTTCATAAACTTTCCACAAAACCACACTTAAAAAATATCTAAATTATCACTTTGTTCTACTAATTTGACCTGAGTACTATAGCACATAGACTAAAGGACATTTTGAATAGCAAATGAAAGAAAAACTTGCACTGTAGCTTGGACACAAAGTCAGATAACATGTTGGCACCTCCTGGAGTTGCTCTGTGTTAGAAAAGTGATGATAATTTGAGATTTGTGTTTTTGAGCTCATATGTATCATCTTTCCAAATGTAGAATTATACTATCTATTCTCTACTATCTGCATCCTTCCCACTGCCATCTAGTAATTTATCTGTCATATTGTCTATATTTGTTGCTTTGCTTCACCTTGTCCATTCCTTGCCTTTTATCAGGGCTCTCCCATCCTCTCCTGGCCCTGCGTGCTCACTCCAACCATTTGTCTCACCAGCTTCATTCATCATTCTCTGGCTCATTTGGCTTTACTTCCTGTGCTCTGTCAAATGATTTGATGGTGAAGATCAGGGCCAATGTGAGCAAGGTCTGGTGAGAGGAATGTGTCAAAGGGGTTATTTTAGGACAGGCATAGGGAAGGCTATATATAAAAACAATGTAAGGAATCAATAAAAGAATAGTATACAGTGGGGACGATGTGGACTTGTATTAAGGGGTTTTTAGTTTAAAGAACATGACTGTTACTTCAAAAAGCATTAAAACTGACCAATGTATAATGATCAGACATGGGAAACCTTCATATCATGAACTCAGTGATCAGTCTGAAACATCAATTTCAATTCAATTCAGTTTATTTATATCGCATCAAATCACAACAGAAGTTGTGTCAGGGCACTGAACAGAAACATTTATATACATAATAATTAGTAAAAGTTCTGTATCTAAGGAAGCCAGCAGATTGTGCTGAATCTTCACTTCATCATAGTCTCCCATCCTGAGCAAGCACAAAGGAGACATTGGAAAGATAAAACTCCCTTTTAACAGGAAGAAACCTCCAGCAGAAGCAGGCTCAGGACAATCTGCCATCTGCTTCAACCGGCTGGGTTTGAGAGGACAGGAAGGAGAAACAAGCAAACACAGAATGACAGGTTCAGGTGTACTTTTTGTTGGAAGAAAGACAAATTGCATGTTAAGGATATAAATAATTACAACTACAAACATGTAAAGTAAAACAAGTAAAGACATCAGCAGAGTGAGGGAATGAGGTATTTTTGTCCTCCAGCAATTTAAGCCTATAGCAGCATAAATAAGGGATAGCTCAGGAAACCCAAGCCAACCCCAACTATAGGATTTATCAGAAAGGAAAACTTGAGCCTAGTCTTAAAAGTAGACAATGTGTCAGCCTCATAGACATTTACTGGAAGTTGGTTCCACAAGAGAGGAGCCTGTTAACTGAAAGGTCTGCCCCCATTTTACTTTTGGAAACTCTAGGAACCACAAGCAAACCTGCTAAGAGAGCTACGAGGGCCGAGATGGTGTAGAGGCAGGGCAGCTGACCTCGGACCAGAAACCCGCAGTTCGACTCCCAGTCATTCCCAACATGTCGGGCTGTCTCTGAGCAAGACACCTAATCGCTCCCCGGGCAGTTACATAACTGCCCACTGCTTCACATGGGTGCATTCCATGTGTGATGGGTTAAATGCAGAGAACTAATTTTGCATTGTATGGAAACATACAATGACTATCTCAAAACTTCCCTTCCCTTCCCTTCCCTTCACTTCATGCTCTGTAGCAGCTGTGGCTGAGTGGTTAGAGCAGTCATCCTCCAATGGGAGAGTGGGGTTTTGATTCTACCAGCAATTACATGCTGAAGTGTCACTGGGCAAGGCACTGAACCCTGCATTGCCTCTGATTGTGTCCCATCAGTGCATGAATGTGATAAAGCACTAACTATTATTAGTACAGATCTAGTAGAGGGCTGTATGAATGGGTAAATGAGTGCACAGATTGTGTTGTAAAGAGCTTTGAGTGTCTTGATAAGATAGAAAGTGCTACATAAGTACTATGTTTGGAAAATGTTGAACAACAAGATCAGCAATATAAGATGGAGCTAATCCAATAAAGTTAAGTCAAGTCCTCTGGGCAGTTTTTTTTTTTTAACCTTTCATCTGTCATTCAAAAGACTTTATCAGTCCGAGGAGTTTCAACAAAGAGTCTTATAAATAGCACCTTCACATAGTGGGTCAGCCAGTTTGATGGTGCTTAGATGGTTCCTGGAATCAGAGGATCCAACTTACTTTGTTGGATTTTTCTACCTGGATTATTGAGCATGAATCAGAACAGATGGATCTAGGTTGTTGAGAGCTTTGTATGTTACAAGTAAGATTTTGAATTATATTCTGAATTTAACAGGGAGGAAATGGAGAGAAGTTAAAACAGGAGAAATATGATCAACTCTCAACAAAAACTCTGGCAGCAGCATTTTGGATGAGGCATTTTAAAGAAATTTTTAGACACCCAGATAATAAACAATTGCACTATTCCAGCTTTGATGTAACAAATGTGTGAACCAGTTTTTCTGCACCATTTTTGGACAAGATGTTTCTAATCTTAGTCATATTACGCAGGTGGAGGAAAGCGGTCCTGGTAACTTATTTTAATGTGGCTGTTTAAACACGTATCCTGATCAAAACTAACACCAGAGTCATAACTGATGAGTACAAATCCTTCTGCTCCATAGAAAAGTGTTGATATATTTTTTTCTCAAATGATACTAAAACATAGATACAGTAAAAACTGTTTTCTAGATTCATGAAAGCTCTGTTCACTGTGTAGTTTGTTTTTAGCCTCTCCTACAGGATACCACAGGGAGGGGTTTTGGCTCCAGTGATTACACAGACCATCATCATTAAACCTTGTCTCCAAGGCAACATGGGTCACCTCATCTACTAGCAGACAATTTGTTACAGCAACCTAGATCATGAGGTTTTCTATGAGATACCAAACACGGATCAGGGGTGTGTCTGAGCTCTCCAAGGGCTATAAATGGATTGGTGTTTATATCAGTAGGGTGTCAAGTACATAAAAGTCTATGTTAGTAATCTTTTCTCTTCTCTGGTCCATTTCAAGGGAAATGGCATACCGCTCATTAACTTCATCTGGTCTTACTGACTAAAGATAATTCCACAAAGCAATTATGATTCAATCTACCCAAAATATGTGCTGAGTTCTAATCTTGCACTATAGGTCAAATAGTGTAACAAGTCAAGTTTTAAATACAGGACACTTCTTTAGGGGCAATAGTGCATGGTAGTTTTTTCCAACTTTAATTTAAAACAGAAGGACGTTCTCTATTCCTAAGCAAAATGTTTTAAATATAAAAGATTAACATAACCTGTCTGTCTGAGAACAAAACTGCTCTGTTCTGTCAGAAGTTGAAGCAAGTATCTCATTGGGGTGTGGCTGTTTTTGGTGACCAGTTTAGACTCATAACTGTAAAATAATCGGGTGAATTTTCAGTTCCAGTTTCAAAGAAGTCTGAGTGTTTGTGACAAAGTGACCACGGAGCCATGCAGCCACATTTTTCACAATCATAGTTTATTTTAATTGCAAGTGTTGTGTTTGTGGTTTACTAAAGTATAATGTAGACTGTGCCTAATATTCATTGCCTATTCCAACATTATTGTACCCACTTTGGCCTGCTTTTTAGCTACCTTAACAGATGCTTCCATATTTACGGTTAAATCTATTGAAGTACACTTTAGAAATAAAGATAAGCAGATTTAGATCAACTTTTAAATTATGATCATAACGTTATTTCCCCTCAGCTTGGTCAGATCTTTGAGGGGGTCCTCGATGGTCAGTGTTGCAGTCTTATAAACTTGAGGCTGAAAGTTTGAGCCCAGATTGTTTGAGGAAGGGCATCCGGCTAAAAGAAATGTTATTTTTTGCGCACGTTTGCTCACTGTGGTGACCCCTTCAGTGTTTTACAGTCTGGAATTGCAGAAATGGTTCAAAATTTTGAAATATCCACAATAACCCTGCACCCTTTTGAAGAAAAAAAACTTTAGTTTGTGAATGTTGTGAGCATATTCATAATTCAAATAACAAGATAGCGAGCCTCTGAAAGTGCATGTGCAAATCTAAAACTCCCTCACAAAAGCCTTTCAAAATTTGTTGTCAACCTTTGAAACCCACTGAGGTACTGGCTTTAATGAGAATCATTTGTAATTTATATGAATGCTTTAAACTACCTGTGGTCTTTTTTATAGCCATTTCCTATTATTTACTGTGCATGAAGAAGCAACCAAAAAATCCTGACTTTCACCAATTGTTACTTTACTGAATGTATTCCTTCTCAGATTTATGTCCATGTGCAGGGAGCACACCGTGAAGGTGTTTCTTGCCAGTCTAGTGATATATGATCTAATAGACCCAGCTTGAAAATATATTATTATTTTTAGAAGATGCTTTGCTCATTTCTCCTGCCCTGTGATGAATCATGTTCTGCAGCAGCATAGCCATCCATTGTTAGAACAGCTGTGCTTAGGTGTACTTTGTTTTCTCTTTGATGTCCAATACTTCTCCCTGGATTTCTATTACCAGCTGTCTGAACACAGTTCACCCATCCTCTTTTCCTCAATAGATTAGGAAGACAGAATGAATGCTAACAGTGTCCTGACATTGCTTATTATTACTGGTTGTAAAGAAAGCGGTGCAATGAAAAAGTAGACTGTACTGGAAGTGTGCTTGAATGGGGTACAGGTCCCAAAACAAAAAAGGCAGATTGGGAGCCAATTGATGTACAGTAAGTTCAATATGAATCAATATTAACTTTGTTCTAGGATATATTTTGCATTTTTCAAACATTATTTATGTTTTTTTGAAAAACAAATAAATAAGTAAACTTAATGAGTGTCTGCCAGATCTGCCTTTATATTACCAGATGAAACATTTCTGACTGGACAAGGTCATTGTTTGTCGAGCACTAAGTTTTCTCCAGACTCTTCATCGCAGAGTCAAGCTTTTATCTCTCATGGGTGCTGTCATCAGATACAGACAGCTGCTGGAAAGATAAATATCATAATTATTCCAGCAGTCTTTGGAGAATGAAGATACCCAGATCCTTACTGGAGGCACTGCCTTCGGATAAGCTTGTTCTGCAAGAGATCAAAGGCAGGCTCTGATTGAACACGTTTTAAGGCAAATAAAGTTCATGAATAAAACATGTCATGGAAGTTTTGAAGGTCCCTGAAGAAGATAATATGACCAGTACAGCTTCAGAAATCCTATGCACTTCACAACTTAAGAGGGAGATTTTATGCAGGTTGAAAAAACTAGTGGCTCAGTGGCTGTGACAATATAAGAGGTTTCATATATTTTGCATGGTGCCACTGAAAATGTGAGGTAAATTTTGTTAGTTTCTCTTACAATATATGTCATTGTTAACTTTTCCTTGTCTTTTTTCTTTCTCATATCTCTTGTTTTGTCATTTCTATTCACTTGCAACCCATCGTTTATCATTTTCTTATGACACACTCAGTTGGAGGACGGTCAGAGTCCAGTTCTGATGACCACAGTGGCAATGCCAGTGTTCAGTACAAAGAATGAGACTGTAAGTGCATGCTTGCTGCTGTAGATTTAATTGTCTCACTTTTCTATCTAGCAAACTTTTTGGGTTTTTTTCCCCAACAAAAATCCATAATTTATGTAAAACACATGCAATGAGAACTTTGTGCCAATTCAAAAATTGGGAAACATTTGGATTTGTTTGTATTTTATAAACAGTAATTTTTGTTTGATTTCAGTCTACAAATTAAAGCATATATTCATGAAATTATACTGTACTCTGTATACTTATCGTATGAGTAACTTTTCAAGCAAAACAGCTGTAAATAGTTCTAAAATGTGTGTTTGTAGAGAAACCATGGGATCCTGCTTGGCGTGGTTGGGACAGATGTGCCGGTCTCTGAGCTGCTTAAAACAATTCCCAAATATAAGGTAACGGTTGAAAGATCACTTTCTCCAAATATAGGTATGATGGAGCATCTTACATAACCTTCCACACATTAAGACTTTAAGTCTTGTGCTCTGATATTTCACAAAGCCCATCTTAATGGGTCTTTGCTGTGTAAAATCACTTGTTTAGTTTTATTTTTCACTTTAAGATGCTGTCAGTTTTAGTCTAAACTTACAGTGCTTTAACAATCTTAAACCTATAAACCCATAAATTATAATTCTGTAGGGATGTTGAACACCTTCCTTAACTATTTCCTGATGACAACTCACCAGGGTGGGTGAATTACAAACTGCACAGGCTTTCCAGATTCTTTGCTCTGATTATTTATTTATTTAATTGTTTGTTTGTTTGTTTGTTTATTTATTGTTTGGATTTCAGGTTTTGGCATTTGAGTGTCTTATTTGTCCAGACATGAATAATGAAATGTTCCTGATCTGAACTTCATCATAAAAACAATTATTCCAAATGTGAAAAATGACAAAGGGCCTTGATTAGCCCAGATTTACAATTAGGAAAAGATCTGAAACGAACCACTTCGGTGTGTCGGTGTTTCTGCTTCTCATCCTAGCTTGGCATTCATGGCTACGCCTTTGCAATCACCAACAATGGCTACATCCTCACCCACCCAGATCTACGACCACTTGTGAGTACCTCCAGCACCACCGAGATGCTGAACCAAAAGTTAACCTTATTATCCTAAGAATCTTTTTTTTAAGAATGACAAAATTGAAATTCTAATGTATCACATTTTCCCCCCTGCTTTTCCTGTCAAGTAAATTACTGATTTGGCTTTCACAAAGAGAAAGACTGAAGAATGAGTTTCACACAGAAATCTGGTGTGTAATCGTGTGGGTGTTCTTTGCTGTGTCGTGCGAGTGTCTTTAGTTGTGTGTCTGTATGTAGATGAGGAGCGTGTTTTCCAGCCCTCTGCTGCTCCCTGAATAGACTGAGATACAGCTACTGAATGGCTGTGATTAACTCTATTGTATTGTCCCACTCCCCTCACAAGAGAGTGGAGGAAGTTGGTGTACAGACAGAGGGTAGCAGAGGAGGGCTGGGAACGGGCTAAACATGAGAGAAGGAGAGGGTAAAGAAGTAAAAGCTGTACAACCCTGGGTAAATATTGAGAAAAATGTAAAAGGAACAGAAGAGGCGATGAACAAATAGACAGACAGATGGTTTATTAGTGTCTAATTAAAGATGCTAATGAAGAGTGTTTAACAGCTAATGAAGGGTGGGAGTATGTCCTCACTGACACATAAAGGAGAATTGAGATTTAAACGTACACACATAAAATAGACACATACACAACTCAATCAACATAATTACTGTATTTTCCAGCGTTTCAGTCACAGTTTTTTACATAGATTTGTCAGTCCTGCAACTTATACGCTGAAGCGACTTATAGTCGTCGTTTTTTCCATACTCATAACACAATTTTTTACTTATGCTTTAAATTTCAAAGAACTGCAACAGTGAGTCCTCTTGTGCGTGTTCGCTTCCCTTAGCTGGTGCAGGCAGAGGAACAGTGAAGAGCTAGCGGCTCCGGCCACGATGGATGGATGGCTGGATGGATGGATGGATGGATGGATGGCGTCGCAGTGCCCAGGCGAAATGAAACTGTTTCGACTATTAAATAAATGCATACTAAATGTGACGAGTCAGTGGTGGCACATAATAAATGCGACATATATGTTTTTTCCTCTTCATGATGCTTTTTTTGACTGATGCGACTTATATTTGGGAGCAACTTATACGCCGGAAAATAGGTATAAGAACAAAACTTTACCTTTATATAAGTGTTTATAACTGATCAATCGGACTAAGTGTGCAGTCAAAGTGTTGAGCTGAATGAAGCGCTGCAGTGCTTTCATCAAAAATCAATAGTGTAGAGGCAGGGCAGTCAACTCAGGACCCGAAGGTCCTGGGTTCGATTCCCAGTCATTGCACATCTCGTGGTGTTGCTGAGCAGGACACTTAATCTCAAATTGCTCCCCGGGTGCTTACATAGCTGCCCACTGCTCCAACTGGGTGTAGCTCAGGTGTGATGGGTTCAATGCAGAGAGCCAATTTCGTCTTTGTATGGGAACATACAATGATGACAACACATTGCACTGTATTATTTTTTTTTATTGTTATTATTATTATTATTATTATTATTATTAAATTCTATTTTTTATTCGTTTAATGGAAAATCCAGTTCTAAAGGGAGGTGCAAACGTGAAGTGTCTTGACATTATAATATAACCTGAAGTTATACATCATCCAGACTTTGACCACACTGGAGACAACAGGTCCCAGTTGTATTAACACATCTTTTGTGGCATTTATATTCAAGTTAAATAAATAAACAAAGAAAAAATCACACCTTTTTTATGAATGGAAAATGAATCACACAAGTTTGCATGTTCTCTTTTGTGCATGCGTGGGTTTTCTCCAGGTCACCAGTTTCCTCCCACAGACCAAAAACATGCATGTTAGGCTGATTGGTAACTCTAAATTGTCCCTAGGTGTGAGTGAGAGAGTGAATGATTGTTTGTCTCTATGTGTCTCTGTGATGGACTGGAGACCTGTCCATGGTGTTGTCCCCCTCCTCTCGTACAGTGATAGCTGGACATGGGCGCCAGACACTTCGATGCAGAAAAGAAGAAGACAGTAGAAGATAATGGATAGCTGGATGCTTGAGTGATCACCCAAAAGACTCGGATGAATGACCGGGCCCAGTTCTTTACGTCACTCATTAAACACGCGTGGGTTCACCTGAATCAGAGACCGACAGTGAGGAGTGAAGTAACTCCTGTTTCGATCATATTGGAAGGCTGTGGTTGGTTGATTGTTTCACCAAGCCTGTCTGAGTGTTTTCTGTGGTCAGATGGTTCTGGTCTGGAATAACAGCTACAATAAAACCATCATTCTGTTCACAGGAAATTAACTAAAAGATTCAAAAAGGACAATAAAAACAGGCAAAGTCAATGTTTGCAAATAGGTATTATACGCAGGAAACACATGTGCTCAGTAACATTTAAATTGCCATTTAACTAATTGAAAATTCTTACCAAGTAATAAAATATAAACTGAGGTTGTCTAAACTGATGTAGATTTTTACTGTCCAGTATTTTTAAAGTATGATACATTATATAAGACAGAAACCTTAAGGAGCTTTAGTGTAATTAGAGTCTAAATTATATTTTATTCCGCATTTATTTTTCATCTTTGGACTTTTGTTTGCATGGGGCTTTGTGTCCAGTACGGAGATGGAAAGAAGCGAAGAAAGCCGAATTACAGCAGTGTGGATCTGTCTGAGGTGGAATGGGAGGATAAGGATGACACGGTGAGACGCCAGCAAATCCACATTAAGCCCCACCGCGGTACTTCTCCCAAAATCAAGCTGTTCTACAAGAGTCTGTGTCTGCTTCATGTTTTTAGTTAAGAAATGCCATGGTCAACAGGAAAACAGGAGCCTTCTCCATGGAGGTGACAAAGAGTGTCGACAAAGGGGTAAGGCGACAAGAAATAACACAGAAAACAATCAAACAACTGTCTCTTTTTTTGCTCCCAAAAACATGTACTGTATGAGAGAAAATACCCAGCCACGAGAATCCACTCGTCCAAGGCGTTGTTAACCTGCAGCACAGCGATGCACCGCTCTGACTTGTGGATTTTGTCTCCTGTTCAGTTTGCTTGGCATGCTCTGCCTGTGCGGGAGCCCCTTATCTCCACCGAGCACATGCTGCTGAATACAGGAGATTCAGCCTCTCAATGATTCACTCGCTTGTCTCAGATGTAGACTGGCATCCAGGTGTATGTGTTTCTTTATGTGTGTGTGTGTGTTGGTAGAGGGGTGGGGGGCTTGTCTGAATCTGAGTAGGTACTTTGCATTTTCAGAGCTTAGAGAGGCACATTACATTCATCTGGTTATTAAGTATTCAGTATGTAAATACAAAACTACACACAGAGACATGGTTAAGTGTATAAACATGTTCATATTTAGAATCTTAATGCAAATACTCACACTGCGAAACACACATCCAGATGCAGTTTTACATATTGTGACTGTCTGTACCACTAGATGGAGCCACAATATAAGGAATCTCATCAGATCAGTTCCTTAACGGTAAATGGACTGTACTTATATAGCACCTTTCTATCTTATCAAGAAGCTCAAAGCTCTTTACAACACAATCTATGACCTCATTTACCCGTTAATACGGAGCTTTACTATATCTATACAAAGAATAATAAGTGCTTTATCACATTCATACACTGATGGACACAAATCGGAGGCAACGAGGGGTTCAGTGTCTTGCCCAGAGACATTTCAGCACGTGACTGCTGGTGGAATTGAACCTCCAACTCTTCCATTTGAGGACGACTGCTCTAATGACTCTTTTTTTCATTTCAGAAACGGGTTCTGATTTTGCATAATGATTACTACTACACAGACATCAAAGGGACTCCATTCAGGTAGGAAGTACAGACACATTTGTCTAAATCAGTTTTAAAGATGCAGAAAAATGTTTCACTTTATTCACTTACAGTCTAGGCGTAGCTCTTTCCAGAGGTCATGGGAATTTTTGCTTCAGAGGAAATGTTACTGTAGAGGAAGGTAGGAGATATATTTTTCTTATTAAATATATATTTTTTCTACTTTTGTTTCACTTCTTCCACCTGAATAGATGTTTCTTTTTTTTAGCTGTGATGGTGTCAGTTGACCCTAACTCTAAAACTAATTAAAAACCTTCAGCAGTTTGTATTCAATACTGGTCCATAAAAAATAAAAAAATAAAAACTTATTTAGTAGGCCAAAAAAATTGTTGAAAAAGAGAGTTTTAAAAATAAAGACATGTTTGCTTGAACATCTTTAAAGATATCAGAGGTTTTATGGTTGGTCATTTATTACATTCTGTTACATGGGATATTATTGATAATGCAAATGAAATATAATTCAAATACAAACTTACTATAAAAATCAGTGGTAAAAAATACACTCTTTTATGTTAATACATGCCAAATGTACAACTGGTAGTGGTTTAAAGTTGATAGAATAGTGTTCACATGAACGGCTATGAAGTTTTTGAGGTCCGAGTTGATTTAAGACAGAAAGAATGTGCTGTTGCCTGCGTTAGGACTTCTTGTTGACTTCTTCTTCAAGAAAACTTCTACCTGACAGTCCAAGCTAATAATACTCTGTGATTTCTACTGTTGCTGTTCTGTCAAGAGTTATAAATGTAGGAAATACAAATATAAACAATTCTCTTTGCAGTAATGCGATTTAAAAGAGAACAAGCTTGAGTTCCATTACAGGTTGTTTAATATTGTTGATCTCAGGCAGAAACCCTGAATTTTCAAAAATATAACTTTTCAGAAGATGAAGAAAAGTTTTCTTTGAATGAACAGTGTTGTCATAAGTTCACAAGCTCTTTTAGACACTTTTCATAGGTTAGTCATTCATTAAACTGCAGAGGAATATGAGGGATGACCAGTAGAGTTGATTTATGATGTGAAGAATCTGTTTTTATGTTCTTTGAGCTTTGGTTTGGGTTTGTGTTTTCAGTCCCTCGTGATTATTAGTTTTTCCAAAGTATTTTCCATGTCTGCTCCTGCCCTGCCTCTCTCACCTGACCATCGCTGTCTCTCCTCAGGTCTTTGTTGTTGTTCCTTTAAATTCTGTGTCATTCTGTTACTTCATTGTCCGTGCTTTGCATTTACAAGAATCAGTCATGTTTGCCCCCTTACATGAATTCACCTGAGAATAATTCACTAAATGTATTTGCTGCCATGTCATCTTGTTGTCTTATTTGTTATTAAATCAGTTTTTCTTCATAGCTTTGAGCCCTTTTGGATTTTGTCTGCACCTTGGGTTCTGAAAACTCCTCAAATATGAACAACAAAGTCCATGTTCAATAATCCAAATATGGCATACAAAAGCATAAAAACTATGAAAAAGCAGAGATGCAACGTTTTGGCACAACAGTGACTAGTGAAAAAATAATACTTTTCACTAACTGCGGCTTATCTAAAACAGGGGTGCTACCAAGAAGGGGTCAGACAAGGGCAATGGCATCCTTAAAACAAGGTCCCCACATTGGCCCCTATTGGCTAGAAAGTTTTATCTGCTTTAGTCTCAAGCATTTGTTTGGTGTGCATTCTTTTTATTTTCCCTAGCAATTTTGGAGTTACAAATATGAAAATATATTTCATTTAAATTAATTCATTATTACTTTTAAAATAAAACCTACACTCTGTTCTTTTGAATAAGGAGAACTAAAACCAACGTCCACAACTTTATGATGCAGGGTCTCAGGAGGCTATATTCATTATTTTTAAAATGTAAATTTAGATGAGGACAAGCTTTAAAACAAGTTTTTTATTTTATTTTAAATTAAATAACTAGCAGAAGTGGTGGCTTTAAACTTTAGAAAGCATCTTGCTAGTTTTGTTTTCTTCATTGTACCATTTTAAATTAAAGATGTGCATTTGACTCTTTTTGGGAAAAGTAAAAAAAGCTGAATGTAAAACCGACATATAGTATTGGTGTATATATAAAGACACAAAATATATTAAAATTAGACTATTGTGGAACTCTAAATGTTTTTAATTCTGTTCTACGTCACATAATCAATATTATTGGATGTAAAAGAAGAACAGATCATTTACTTTCATATTGCCAAAGGTTTCATATTACTATTTTACAAAAACAACTTAATGGAATTTCTGAAATTCTTTGATGGTTTTTGGTTTTGATGTGCCCCCCAGGATGTTCTGTGGCCCCCACATTGCCACTTCATTAAAAAAATTCTGGAAGCGCCACTGATCTGAAATTTTTATGATAATTTACAGAAACTGAAGACGCCATGCTTGCCTGAAAAAAAAAACAAAAAAAAAAAAACATATGACATTTTTCTGAAACCTTAGTTTATTTTTTAAAAACACTTCAGTCTTGAAGTGTCTGTCTGTGACTCTGAGAGTTAATATGCTTATTTTAGTGCTCAGCCTCATGGGTGTTAATATTCATGTGGCGGTGTTTGTGTTCACGTCCTTCTCTGTCCGTTTCTTTAAGCACGTCCATCATGTAGAGCTCTCTGAGCATGACTTGGCTCCTCCTGATCTAACCAGACCTGTCACATCCATTCAAAAAACACATTTCTCAACCCGTGTGTTTACGTTAGTCTGCATTAGAATGGCTGCCTCTGTTCTGATTCAATAATGAAGACTTTTATTTGTTATGAGACATTTAGATACCTTTTTGTTACAGGACTTCATGACCTGGAGCATCCTGATGTAGCACTGGCAGACGAATGGTAACAGTATAATGATCATGCTATATAATCCATCCTCACTTTAAGTAAACTTTTAGGACTAAGTCCAGATTGTACAGTCAATTTATTAAATTATTTTATATACCACAATTTGTGGTGACCTGTGTCAGGAAGCAACATTCTAATGAATTACAAAACATGCTTTTCAAACTACGCTTGTAAATAAAATAAAATAAAACACCTTGAAACTCTTAGTTTTACTGAATACTTTATTGTATTAGAGACGTGCATTCTAAGGGTAGTATTACACTGAGCTGTAACTATAGAGACTAGTTGGCAAACTAAAAGTTTGAGGAAGTTTGTGAGATAATTAGTGACATTTTCCTTGCAGTCTTTAATGACTTTTCAGTTTTTGGTACCAAGGGACCAGCAAACCATCTGTCTTTGTTCTGAGGTGCCAATTTTGGAAAATCACAGGCTATATTTGAAAGCATGGATTGCAAAACTATTCTAGACCGTGCACATTTCATTGTTCATCTTAGCCCACGTTGTACTCACCTTGACATCTACTTCCATGTTTATGATTTAGTCGACTGGAGTACAATTTTGAAAAGACAAAAACCAGCTATGAACCATTGTTTTATTAATTAATCATTAGCAGCATATCTTTCAGACTTGGGCATTAACGGTTCAAGTCTTGGATATTTTCTAATTACAGCCCCAGTGCTCTAAAATGTATGAAAAATGAACTGAGAAGGGTTTCTAACAGTTTTATGACACCTGGAATACCTCTGTGAGTATAAAATAAAATAAAATCCATCTCACATTTTTTTTTTTTGAGGATGTTCACAATTGAACTGAGCAACTGATGCAACTCATACAAGGATTTTTATAATCACTGCAAATAAAGTGAGACACTTTGGAGACTCCTTTATGAATATTGCTCATCATCCAGTCTCTAACAGTTGCAGCTCAGTGAGATATTGTCTGAAAGAAAACACAGTAAACTGATTGTATGACATGTGCTGAATAGTAATATCAAGTTTAGGCAAATAGTTCACACTTAGGAATACATTTGAAAAGAAACTTAACCATAGCTAACTAGAACTAACTTTTGCCATTCTATAGGACATACTGCAACACAGACGAGCATCCTGAGCACCGTTATCTCTCTCAAATGGAAGCAATAAAACTGCACCTCAGTGGACATGAGCCTCATCTGCAGTGTAAGTTTACTCTTCTAAAGTTTAGTATTTTTGCTTTGAAGGGTTTTGGCTCATACTTTTAGTTGTCCCCAATGAGTCATTAACACTAATTTATGTGTCAAATGTGAAGGTGACAAAGAGCTGATTCAGGAGGTTCTCTTTGACGCAGTGGTGACCGCTCCACTGGAAGCCTACTGGACCAGCCTGGTGCTCAATAAGTCTGAGTATGTCACCCACTCGGCTCAACCATTGTTAGATGATCGATGAATAAATTATTGCCACCCTAAATGTAAAGATTTTGCAATAGTCGGTTTTCTTTATTTTGCTTGTACCAATTGGGGAGTTGTCTTCAACGGGATGTCACTTAATGAGTTTGTCACATTATTCAGGAATTCTGATAAAGGTGTGGAGATAGCCTACCTGGGCACAAGAACTGGACTGTCCAGAATTAATCTGTTTGTGTTGCCTGATGAGCTTACGAACCAGTAAGTAAACTGAAAATATGAGTGTGTACACAAGAGCTGAAGTAAAATGTTGCAGATGCTCACTGTTCTTCAGCTCAGTGTAACTGTTTTATGTGTGCATCATTTCATCATTGTCTCCTGTCTGCCCCAAGAGACTTTCTAACAGCTGAAGACAAAGAGGGGGTGTTCAATGCCGATCACTTTCCTCTGTGGTACAAGAGAGCAGCCGAACAAGTTCCGGGAACCTTCATCTACTCTCTGCCTTTCAACACAGGTCAGTTATTTGTTTGTTATCCAAGAGTACCATACTTGTTGACGTACACGACGCACCACCATATAAGTTGCATCAGTCCAAAAATGTCTAATAAAGTGGGAAAAATCATAAAGAAGTCACTTCGATGTATACGTCACATCCATTATGCGTCAACGCTGATGCATCACGTTTGTTATGCATCACCGTTGACCACCTGGAAACATGGGCCGGTGTTGTGCCAAATATCAATTAGCTGCCAAATGGTGGCCATGGGAGCATGCACGGGAGGACTAACAATAATTTAACTAGATTAACACTTAAAAACAATTGTTTGTTTGCTCGACATTATAGCAAAGGTGTGTCTCAGTTGAACTTTTCCTTAATAAATGGACTATATTGCTCAAATCAGCTGCATTTCACCTGGGCGGCGCGATATGGTGCAGCGCGGTGTGGTGCGGCGCAGTGTGGTGCGGCAAAATGCAGACAATTTTATTTTTACTCCAGGAGTTCCGGATCGAGACAAAGGTGGATTGGTATGGCAAGCCAAATGTCTCATTAATAGCCACTTTTACCTATTAATGAGACACTTGGTTTGCCATATTGTTTGAGGGCCCTCTAGCAGCTGAAAATGGTAGTGTTCAATAATAAGTCAAAATGAATGAAATAGTCAGATCTCAGCCAAAAATTGGTTTATAAATATGGGGGGGGGAAACGTAGATTAGTCGCATTGGTGTATAATTCACAGGACTTGCAAATTTATGCAAAAAGGTGTGATTTATATGGCGAAAAATACAGTAATTCTAAGACAGGGATGTAGACTGGCAAAAATATTTAAATTGTGTATTGTTGCATTAAGTAACAATTACTCATTGTATTCATTAAATTTCTCTAACTTCAATTAATTGCAATTATCTGCAAAGACTTAACAAGTTGAACCAAAACTCTTTTAGTACTGTTGTGCAGGTTGTGCTAAACTGTTCTTTGGTTTTAGATATTTTTTCATGTGCAGTATATTTATTATCACTTTAATAATGAATTATGTTTCTTTTGTGGAAGATAGTCTTACTAAACTTTTTATATCTTAATCTTTTTTTTTTTAATGGCAGCTATTTAGGCACTAGTCTATACAAAACAAGTTTTCCAAATACAATAAATATATTGTATTGTAAGGCATTAAATATCACATCTTATCATATACCATACATCTTATTGTAAAATGTAACATAGTTATAAAAATGTGTGTTTTTTCTGCTATCTTCATTAAATCTTCCGTGGCTGTGTATTGTTAAATTTGTTGTGCACAGACGTAAATGAGATTGTTGCCAAGGGCTGAAATAGGATTTTGGAATATGATAAGAAGAAACTCACCTTTTACCACAGCCACAAACACAAAACACACAGTATACAGTAAAAGGTTGCACTTCCACAAGCATCTCACATATATTTAGTTTTTCACAGTGTCTCTAAGAAATGCTCTGCCCTCCAAAGGAAGAATTTGTTCTCATCTGTTCTCAGCCGCAGGCTTTCCATTAGTGCCAGCTAATACAAGTGATCTGAAAGCCTCTTATTTACTTGCCTGGCTTGCATTTGATGCACTCTTCCTTTAAGAACCTTGGTAGCTTTAGCTATGAAATAGCACTCTTTGGTTTTTATGTGCAGTAGTTATTTGGTCAAATCATTTTTTGTTTAATTCAAAACTAGAATAAGAACTTAAGTCTGTGGTTTTAACCCCTCTGTGTGTATGTGTGCTTGTGTTGATTCTGTTTTATCCTCCTACATGTGTGGGGCGTTTGTAGGATCAGAAAACAAAAGTGTTGTGTTGGCAAGTACTGCCATTCAGCTTCTGGATGAGAGGAAATCCCCTATAGCTGCAGGTAAGCAGGACTTCAAGTGACTCTTTCTCTCCATCTTTCATGCTGAACACTTCTCTACACTGTCAGAGCTTGCTGTATTCTCTTCCTCACAGGGCTATGCTTTATATTCCTGCTCTTCAGTTGTCCACCCCCTACGTATTTCCCTTCTTTAAGCTGAAACACTTGCTGCCCACATGCTCTAATAGTGCAGCTTTTGTAATTGTATATTTGCTGCTGCAAAGGCACACCAAGCAGCAGAAGCATTTTCTTCTAAAAGTATGTGTCCTTAAATATATAGTTTTATAAACACTATCTGGGCAGCACGGTGGCGCAACTGGTAGAGCTGCTGCCTCTCAGCGAGCAGGTCCTTGGTTCAAACCTCGGTCCAGGGGCCTTTCTGGGTGGAGTTCGCATGTTCTCTCCGTACATGCGTGGGTTTTCTCCGGGTACTCCGGTTTCCTCCCACAGACCAAAAACATGCATGTTAGGCTGATTGGTAACTCTGAATTGTCCCTAGGTGTGAGTGAGAGAGTGAATGGTTGTTTGTCTCTATGTGGCCCTGTGATGGACTTGCAACCAGACCAGGGTGTACCATGCCTCTCGCACAGTGATTGCTGGACATGGGCACCAGCGACCCCCGTGACCCAAAATGGAATAAGCTGCTAAAGATAATGGATGGATGGATAAACACTATCTGCACATTGGTCTCCGTGCAGATTAAAGGCTGGTCCAGATGAACTTCTGTGTCTTGCTTCTTTTTTTGTACCGTATTTTTCCGCCGTAAATGTCGCTGCGCCCTATAAGTCGCATCAGTCCAAATATGTCTAATAAAGTGGAAAAGTCCATAAATATGTTGCTTCGCCGTATACGTCACATCTATTATGCGTCACAGCTGACAACCCGGAAATGTGGGCCAGTGTTGTGCCAAAAAGTGATTGGCTGCCAATTGGCGGCCGCAGTAGCGTGCACGGGAGGACTTTAACAAGAATTTAACAAGATTAACACTTAAAAACAATTATTTGTTTGCTCGACATTATAGCAAAGGTGTGTCTCAGTTGAACTTTTACTTAATAAATCCACTTCAATGGTCAAATCAGCTGCATTTTGTTGGGGCGGTGCAGCAAAATGAAGCTAGTTTGACAGTTGCTCCAAGTAACGAGCAGAACGAAGGTGAAAGGCTTCGGCAAGCTGATAGTGTCATTAATAGCTGGTGAAGATTCTCAGTAATCCAGGAAATGGTCAATTAAAAAAAAATCAATACAAAAACAATAAAGTATAAAGTATAATAAATAAAGTTCAGATGATTTTGTCTTGAACTTTTCAGAATTTGTCATTATCGCCACTTTTATCCATTACATGATACAACATAATGCCTTACTACTCTGGTGACATCTAGTGGCTGAAAAATGGAAGTGTTCCATTTTTTTAAATTCAAAATGAATGAAAACGACCAAATCTCAGACAAAAAAATGGTTTATATATATATGGGGGAAAAAAATCATAAATATGTTGCTTTGGCCTGTAAGTTGCAGGGCATGCAAATTATGCAAAAAACTGCAACTTTTAGGGCAAAAAATATGGTAGGTGAATCCAAAAGCCCCACAATGCTACATTTGTAAAATGAGTGCAGTTAACACATGCAAGTGGTGCTTGCACTGTGAACACACAGTTTTATAACTATTTAAAGCATTTCATACCTCTCTACAAAAGCTTAAGAATACTTAAGTAAAGTTAAGATGATACTCATTTAAGTATAAAATGTCTAATTTTTGTTTTCAATGAGTGTTTTTGACCTGTGTCTAACAGTAATTTTCATTTTGCTTCCAAAAGTTAAAATATCTACTGATATTTAGAAGAATTATACATTTACTGTTGGAAAGAGCAAAAATAGAAAATCTGAGTAAGTGAAATGTTACTTCATGTTAATTTTTGCTTTACGATCCTTTTAAGAAATTATGGCTTTTCCTATATTTATTAGTGCAATGGTACGAGTAATTATTCAGTTTTAGGAATTATAATCTTTGCTAAACTGTACTGGATGTTTAAAAAGCTTTTCAAATATAAATACTGTATGTTCACTCAGCTGTCAGCCTAGAATACGTTCTATTAACAGCAGAATCAAAGAATAATGTTAAAGCAGTGAAAAAGTAAAATAATGAGTTAAAGGACGAGAAAGAAAAAAAAAGTTTCATGGTGCATGGACATTTTGACATGAATGCAGTGCATTGTGGGTAGTCTTTGCCTAGGGGAAACCACTGGAGCAGAAAGACAATGTTGGGAGAGTCTCTGTAATGTTACTGCCCCCCCCCCCCCCCCCCCCCACACACACACACACACTCATAGTCTGTAAGAATATGCATCATATTTGTAGCAGAGTACAAAGCAGACCACAGTTTAATTTGACCCTGCTTGTTTGGTCATTAATCTTTTAACGTGATAGAATTTTCTTAAATCCTGCATTGCAAAACAAATGAACAATCATTAAGAAGGATTTAGGAGCACACTATTGTCAGAGTGGGTGCTGACATACAGTAATGATGATCATTGTTATCATTTATGTTTTCAAGGATGATTTTATATAAGAGTGTCAAAAGGAAGGAGAGATGTAGGCTAGAATGCAAATTCAGCGTAGGCCGGATAGGGCCAGTTTTCACTGCCCTGCGTTCCACTGAGCTGTAGATTTGTGAATCCGCCAACACGCTAACTAAACAGGACAGGCTGATGACATCATACACCACTGGCCCTGCAGACATCACTGAAGTTGCAATGTTGTTCTGCATGTACGTACATTGCCTGTGTATGCCAGCATGTCAGTTTGTGTGTGTCAAAAATTGTGGTCACATCCCAAGCCACGTGCAGTTAGTCTGCTGTAAAAAACACACACACAAAAAACAAAAAACATAGAAGTTAGGTCAGGCATGAAGACCAAAAGCATCTGTGCCCTATATGTTCCTCCAAAGTACACTGAGCAATGTGAAATTTTGTTACCAAGTGCTACGCTGATGTCCCCCATCACTGAAGGATTTGAATAGTGAATATTTGTAGTTTTTGAGCTGAGTGTTTATCTGGACTGGAATTGAACAGCTAATACAAATAAACCTTAATGATTTTAGTGTAAGACATTCGAGTGGGTAGGAGTTACACTGTGTATAAGAAGAGAGAAAGGATTTTTATTTTTGTTTCTCTGAGGCAGAGGGACGGACACGAAGGGAACAATTATGTATCATCAGGCGCAATGGCGGAGTCAGGGGGTGGCCAATGGTGGCCTTGGCCATCATAGCTTAATCTTTTACAACCCCACAAGCCACCCCAATCGTTTAAGGAAACTATACTTTTAAGCAATATAAAAACTAGAAAGCATATCAACAATGTTCAGTCAGGTCATCTGGACAGTTCCTTTTTTCGTTGAGAGACGTTTCACGCTCCATCCGAACGGCTTCATCAATCTGAGAAGTCACATACAAACTGTTTTTCCCACCAAGCAGTGGGCCGACCAGTTTGCTGGTGGTAAGGTGGTTTCTGGGAGCTGTCCTCTCCTCCGTCGACTCCTCCCAGGCAACCACAGCCAAAGTGGTTCAAGACATCAAAGTTCATGCTCAGCAATCCAGGTAAAGAAATCCAACAAGCTCAGCAAATCCAAATCCAACAATGAAATCCAAGTGTTGGATTTCCTTACCTGGATTATTGAACACAAACTTTGATGACTAGAAAGCATGGTTTCCTCAAATGATGGGGGTGGCCGGTTTCTATATGACAGTGGCCACCTTGGATTTTGATGGGGCACACAGTTTTGGATAGTGACTCTTCTTATGCCTAGATGCATCCACACAAAACTAGAAGTAGGTTCAAACAAATAAGTCCCCGAGGCTCAGTGGGATTAACATGTATAAATAAAGGTTGAATGAACTTATTTTTCAAGTTATCATGCTCACAACATGCACATACAGATGGACAGATGGCGTTTCCAATACTCCCTCTTCGCTCAATGACAGGGACAATATACTGTATGGTGGTGGCCATCTTGGATTTTAATGTGAAAACCCAGATTTTGATAATGACCTTTCTTATGACAACTGACTAGGACTTTCCTATGGCTACTTTTATATGGATGGGGAAGCTATGGCTGAGTGAACAACAAAGGCCATGCTCAATAATCCAGGTATACAATCCAACATTTTTCAGTCAGGTCATCTGGACAGTTTCTTTTTTTGTGCTGAAACACTTCACCTTCGATCCGGAAGGCTTCATCAGAAACTGTCCAGATGACCTGACTGAAAAATGTTGGATTGTATACCTGGATTATTGAGCATGGACTTTGTTGTTTTCAACCAGTTTGACAAGACTGTCAACAAGGAAGAGGGCCAGCAATGGAGGAGGGGGCGTGACAAAGAGACCATCTTAGCACCAACATAACTGGTTTGTTCCACTTTGGAGTAAGCTGTTGGGGGAAGAATCAGTTTTGTTGTGTGTTTCCTTGACTGATGAAGCCTTCCGGATAGAAGGCGAAACGTTTCAGCACAAAAAAAGAAATTGTCCAGATGACCTGACTGAAAAATGTTGGCTTTGGCTGAGTGGTTAGAGCTGTTGTCCTCCAGTGGGAGAGTTGGGGGTTCGATTCCACCAGCAGTCACATGCTGAAGTGTCCCTGGGCAAGGCACTAAACCCCTCATTGCCTCTGATGTGTATCACATCGGTTTATGAATGTGAATTAAAGCAGGTCTACTGCTAGGTCTCTACAGATTCAGATTAGTTTAGTTAGTTCAGATTAGTTTTGAAGAGACTTAGTAGAGTGATGTATGAATGGGTAAATGAGGGCACAGATTGTGTTGTAAAGCGCTTTGAGTTGGTAATAATGAAAGGTACTATACAGCCATATTTGGTAAAGTCCATTTACTATTTACCATTTTCTATGGTGGATGCAGCCTTACACTAGAAGACAACACATTGCCTATTTTTGATCACATCTTTTGAGGAAACTACAATTCAGCAAAAAATAAAATAAAAAAAAAGATAGAGAAAGCATTGTTTCCTCAAATCATTGGAGTGACCCATACACACACACACAAACACACACATATACATATATATATATATATATATATATATATATATATATATATATATATATACATACATACATACATACATACATACATACATACATACATACATACATACATATATATATACATACATACATACATACATACATA